AATTGACCCATTTTTGGGCCCAACCGGAATTCCGGTTGGACCACCGGGGGTCCAACCGGCCCGGTTGGGACCGGCCCGGTCCGACCGGCCGGTTGCCGGCTTAGCCCCAACTTCTAATTGATACTGCAGTCTAAGAGACCACAAACCCGCTACAGTAGGCAGGTGTTCATCCTCAACCCAAGTGGAGAGGAGGATAGGAACAGCATGATTTAGCCCAGGCTTTGCTGTGTTTATATGCTTCTCAGACATCCCTATTCTGTGGGGAAAAAGTTATGGGTTGAGGTTTCTGCTCGTTAAATCAGAGCAGCAGTCCGAGGTGCAAGCCCAAGAATGAACCTTGCTCCACTACATGTATCTGGACAGCGCACGAGGCGAAATACTTTCGGACTGATGACCCACTGTATAAAAAAAAAACAAAAGGAAAGCGGACTGCTGACCATAGCTACGCCGGACCGGACTCCGGACCGAATCCGGACCCCGGACCCCGGACCCCGGACTTCCCGGCGACATCCGGACTTCCGGAAACCCGGAATATTCCGGAATATCCGGACCGGTCCAGAACCCCTGTCCGGATGCCTGTCCGGAACCCTTGTATTTTCCGGGAAAAAAAAAAAAAAAAAAACACTGTGGGGGGAATGCTGATCTCAGGTCTGCATCTCAACAGTTCATGGCTGTGCAACAGAAGGCTGAATTATGCCGTTGGGCCGCATTGGCTATATCACCGGCCCCAGGTAATTCAGAATTATTTCATTCTGGTCATCTGATTGTATCTGGATTCGAACTTGGGTCTGTATTGCAACAGGTCGTGGGTGTGCAAAGTGGGCTAGGCCCGTTGGAATGCCGTTGGCTTTTTGCCAACGGTCACGTGAAAAAGCCAACGTCTGAAAAATAGGCAAAAAAAATAACTTAGAGAACCCGCCAAGTGGCGGGCAGAGGGAAACGTGGAACAGAAAGTCCCTCCCCCTCCTGTTGCAGGGGCCAGTTCTGATGGCCGTTTTTTTCTTTCTTAAAATGGCATATTCGGTTTTGTTTTTCTTTCTTTTTTTCTTGTTTGTCGTTTGCTGGAACGTACAAAGCATGCAATCCTGGGAAGGTGCGCACGCGTTGAAAGGGCAAGCCATGCCAATCTGCCAAAAACAAGGAAACAACAGAAAAACGAAAAAAAATTGGTCCGTTGGAGAGCGGCCATACAGCTCGGCTCCACTACTCACCAAAAGACAGAAAATGTGGTGGTGTATCTTTCCATGTTGTAGCAGAAGATTCATTTTCATTTTGCACTTGGTGAGTAGTGCAGCCAGGCCCAAAGCCCCAGAGTCTTTGCAGGCGCTCGTTCGGACAGGTGCTGTTTTTTTTGTTTGTTTTTTTCCGCTGTTTTCTTTTTGAAAGTAGGATCTTTTTTCGTTTTTTTTTCAGACTTTCTTCGTTTTGGGGGGCAACGTGGGGGGAAATGTAGTAACGTACGAAGCAGCCTATCCTGGGAAGATACGGGCGCTTCTGATAGTGCACAGTTCGTTTGCTTTGAAACGAGTGCAGGGCGGGAAAAGAAAACTTAGGGCCTCCGTCCGGCCCTGTCTGGATGCCACATCTAAATCTTAAAAAAACGCCCAGCATTTTTCCACAGCGGCCCAAAATGGAAGAAAACGACCTGGGCCGCCTGAAAAAAAATTGGGCTACCCCCCATTTTCCCACCATCCGGACCAGGATCCGGAAACCTGGACCGGACGCCGGACACCGGTCAGTCCGGATCCCTGTCCGGCTGTCCGGATCGTAGCTATGCTGATGACTCACCATATAACCATATAAGGGAAAAACAAAAGGAAGCTCTCTGCCTGCACGAGCTGAAACCTCAACCCATAACTTTTCCAGTTTAGAGCTCGGTATCCCGAAGAGCTATAACTTTGGGCAAGCACCTCCCAACAGCATATGTCGTTCGGCCTCTAGAATACCAATGCCTGATGGCATAAGCCAATAAAGAGGTATATGGTTGAATTGAAATTTGAAAGGCCGCGGAGGGGTCAAGTAAAGCAGTTTACTTGACCTCTCCACATAAAGGCCAACCTCTGACTCCCTGGCCCCACCCGATAGTATGCCCTCCCCCCTCTTGGAACCCCCCCCCAAAAAAATCGCACCTTCCAAATTTTATTGCGGATTTGGACAGATCTCGAAGAGCGCAGTCCGAACCCGCCGACAAAAAAAAAAAAACGAAAAATCCTGGGCATTTTTTTTGAAAACCAGTTTTCCGGTTCAGCCCCCCTGGGCTGGTCCGGATCCGGGTGGACCGGGGGAGGTGAACCGGCCGGTTGCCAGCCCAGCCTTGATTCGAAATATGACATGGTTTATTTTTCTTTGCCTTGTTTCTTGAGTATAATTTCATTTTGATATTGAAGACCCTTCCGTTTATAAACTTCAGGAGGCTTACAACGTTTGATTCTGGCAGCAAATTTAGTGACCTTTTGTATAGATTTCATTGCGAGTCTGTGAGAATGTTCGATGAAGTGGAAGGTGCCCAATCACAAACTGACCCTCGCTTGAACCCCGTCTCCCCAATCCCTGAAATGACATGCAAATCTGATTAAAAGTCTTCGGTTGAAAAGGAGTACGAAACAGGAACAGAAGGCTACAAACCTTCGGGTGGCCAGTAAATTTGACCTTTTGTCCGCCGAACAGTGGTGTTGGTGGTGTGAGTCTTCTTGGAGGGTCTGCTTTGGGCTGAGTCTCCTTGAGAACTTTGTCAGGCACAGCTGCCTGTTCTCCTGCAGTCTGCTCAGGCTCCTTGTTCACTGCATTTGCAACCTGTTGGTTCTCGTTCTCGTTTTCCGGTGGCTCGGCTTGCTCTATCTTCGGAATTGCATCTGGCTTTGACGCCAAAGCATTCCCACTTGTCATTGAGTTCCTTCTGGATGAAGAACCAGAAGCACTACCAGCTGCTGATAAGACCGAAGCTCTCCGGTATTTGGAGTTTTCAGCGACCATTGCCTTGAACCTCTCGTTCTTTTTCATCAAGTCTTGCAACTGCTCTTTGGTGATGCATCATGGTTGCAGTCACCGTTGTTCGATTGATCGATAATGGAGAATAAGAAAGTAGTGTTCACAGCCAACACCATTGAATTTTGATTGAGATTGCTCATCACAAGAAACATTGTCCACCCAGGGATTACGGCAAACCACAAAGCAAAGGGTGCCCTTCTGCCCATTGTCAACACTCAGTGAGTGGGCTTGCGAGCTCACCAGCATACAACGGCAAGTGCATACCCACAGAAGTGCAGGTCACCACCATTTCATCACACAGTGCAGAAGCCACAGACATAAGAGGACAGTCAGGTCAGGCTCTTCGACTGTTTGGTAGTTGTTTTCAGTCCACAATCAAGATGTTCATCATTTCAGAAGTACGTCAAGGGATTCAACCTTGAATTGTGATTTTGGCCAAACAATTTGGGGTCTGCTTAGCTACACAAGTTGGGGTCAACCGTAAGACACTGGCAATGAACCCTGCATCTCTCCAGCAAAATCTTAAAATGATGAAAAACGAATCACAGAGCTCCAGAGAAACAAACCAGAGTTAATCTCAGAGAAAGATAAGCCAAAAAGAATCAATAGTGATGTTTCTGGTCATGGCTCAAGGTTACAGGTTTTGCGAAGTCTCTGGAGTCCAGCATTGTCCAGAGCATTAAATGAACTGCCCTAAGCTTTCATAATATAATATCTGATTCGAAACTGGGAAATTCCGCTAACGCACCTCGATCGACACCAGAGAAAGAGATAGGCTAGCCAAGCTATATATACGTTGGATAGGAACAGGATTCTCTAATAAGCCCCACTTAATTGGAGACTTAGGATTTATGTAATACTCGTGAATTGAAATATGAGTAGAATGTACTAGACTGGTTGGATGACTGAGATGCATGTTCATCCATCAACTGGGTTTGGGGTTTAGGGACTAGATTTCTGGGTTTAGCGCCACGGCTCTCCGCCTTGGGTCTGAAAGTTTCCCTGCGAGCTACTCGCCTTGGGCTGTGTTAGATCTGGATGGCAGTGCCTTATGATGAAGGGGCTGGAGAGGCACTGTGGACTGATACTCCTTTGTGTAAGGCACGTTTTGACCAGGTAAGGACACTTCGGTTGCACATGCCTTTGCCAGTGCCCTCAATCTATACTGCCTAAGAAATGGTTCAGATCCACTAACAAGAAATGATACTTCGTGTTTGATCTTCCCACCTTCAGAAGTGAATATACAAATCACATCGTCTGTTGTGTTAGTTTTTGATTAATCACGATGTAGCTTACCGTCCATCTGGGGAGCGTCAGTCCGGTCCCTACTGGCAAGTCCAAAAAATGCATCATATACTCACCCTACACTCCTTCCAACTATGGTTGGAAGGTCTGAGTAGACGGCATTGATTACTTCCCGTGGGAAGGACATACCACCACTCACCCCTGCCTAGTCCGGCCTCATTGACTTACTCTTGAAGTTTCTTGACTCTTGGGACCTTCACTGTACTGGGATTATGTCAGTGCCACTAATTGTGAGTCCGTCTCGTACTCTTGCTCCTGTCAGCTGCTGGGCCATCAGATACACTTGGGTGACTAGGGCACTACCGCCCTTTTGTTTTCTAAGTATTCTTCCTTAGCATACCCTCTTACTACCCTAAACCCCACACTGACCAGGAACTGTAGCCACCCTTGACATAGTCTCCTAGAACCATAAACCCTAGGTGGGCTTCGCCTTGCCCTATTAGCTCGAGTCCTAGATTGCATTCTCGATGGAGGCCGTGTCTATCCCCTCCTCTAACTGTGGCCAGTACTGAGGTTTTTTCCTTGATTTTTGTACACATCCAGGTCCATGGGTGTCGGCCCTCTATTTTCAGTTCCCTGCCTCTGTACCTGGCCCACACCAGTCGTGAACTGAAGTGCTCTTTCTGTTGTCTGCACTATTAACCCACCCTTCAACCATGTTTCCTCAAGCCCTTTCGATATGCTGGTCTTCTTTTGGTCATCTACTTCCTTATCCAGCTTTCTTAGGGTGTGCCTCCATTCCACTCTGATATCCGCCTCCATGAGCTCCTCTGCTTCCTCCCATGATTCGTTTGTGGATGTTTTCTTTTTTCCTATTGTTCCCCCGCATCTTGCCCTCCATATTACCCACAGGGTGGTTTTTCGCAGCAGTTCCATTAGTTCTTCATTCTCATCTTGGCCTTCGTCACCTACATCAATCGCTGTCAACAGGAAGAATTGGTCTGTCGGAAAATATGAAGTGGTGATATAGGACCAAACTCTCTTGCATTTGTCCCATAAAGCAGTGGCATGTTGTCATTCCAGTAGGCAGTGAGTTAGCGTTTCTATTTGGTTTTG